CAGGAGTCTGTGTTGAAATTTGGATGGGAAGTTAAAGCGATCTAGGATTTCCTTCATGTAACCCCAGTGAAGTTGGTTCAAGGCGAGTGCATATGCCTTGGTTTCTGTCAAATGTCATGAGTTCTAGTATGTTCAATGCTCATCTGGTGTTATCTTCCACCTGTTGGCCCAGGACAAAATCTGCTTGCTCGGTGGAGATAATCTCAGGGAGGAAGGGCCGTAACCTATTAGCCAGAACCTTAGCGAACAGCTTTGTGTCCGCATTTAATAAGGAGATTGGGCGGTAATTGGCACATGAATCAGTCAGTTTGCCTGGCTTGATGATAGTGACTGTGGTGACTTGTAGCATCTCGGGTGGCATACAACCTGTCTCTAAAATAGAGTTGAATAGGGCTGTCAAGTTTGGGAGTAGTAGTTCTTGAAATGTCAAATAATAATGGGTAGAGAAGTCATCGGGCCGGGGTTTTGTGCTTAGTGGTGGCTTTTAAAGCCGTGTGAACCTCATCCACAGTGATGAGTTTCTCCAATTCCTTAACCCTAGTGGAGCTCCTGTAGCATAGCTGCCAATCTCTTTTCCGAGATGGAAATCAGTGTCAGAGCCTGCCTCATAAGGTTTTGCGGGGGTCTCCGCTAGGTTACATAGTTACATAGCTGAAAAGAAACTTGCGTCCATCAAGTTCAGCATACCTCACATTTGTTTTTTTGCTGTTGATCCAAAAGAAGGCAAAAAACCCAGTTTGAAGCACAATTTTGCAACAAGCTAGGAAAAAAATTCCTTCTTGACCCCAGAATGGCAGCCAGATTTATCCTTGGATCAAGCAGTTATTACCCTACATTGAAAGATTATATCCTTGAATATTCTGTTCTTGCAAGTATGCATCTAGTAGCCGTTTAACATCTGTATGGACTCTGATAAACCACTTCTTCAGGCAGAGAATTCCACATCCTGATTGTTCTTACAGTAAAAAAACCTTTCCTTTACCTTAGACGAAATCTTCTTTCTTCCAGTCTAAACGCATGGCCTCGTGTCCTATGTAAAGTCCGGTTTGTGAATAGATTTCCACACAATGGTTTGTATTGGCCCCGAATATATTTGTATAATGTTATCATATCCCCTCTCAGGCGACGTTTTTCTAAACTAAATAGGTTTAAATTTGTTAACCTTTCTTCATAGCCGATATGTTCCATTCCTTTTATTAATTTTGTAGCCCGTCTCTGCACTTTTTCTAGTGCCATAATATCCTTCTTTATATATTTATTTCCCAACGGTACATACTGAGAAATGTACCTTTTTAATATTTGTTGGAAGATGATCCATTTATCCTCCGTGTTCTTTTTACTAAAGAGTTTATGCCAGTCAATATATTGTAAAGCTTCCCTTAACTTATTGAAAGGTGAGCACTTAAATGGGGCACTTAGGATACTGTTTGCCGCTGATTTTGGTAGCTTTCAGGCCTCATCGATCACGGAGCTTTTACTACATGCATCCGGCTTATCAGACTTTTTTATGGGACCACACTTACCGCTGCTGAATTTATGAACACCCTGGTCCTTGGTGGGGACATACTACCACCTACGCCTACTGAATTAAGCAATCCATATTTGCTCCATTAAATGTGAATAAATTTTTTTTTTTTTTTAAATATGATTTTTATTAATGTACTTGCAACGTATTTTCAACAAAAATAGGCAAGGGGTGGGGGGATGGGACTCGCAGGTCCCTGGAAACAACAACATAAAGTATTTGCTTTTGGGCTCGCAGGCCCCAATGAACGATGCGGACTCGCAGGTCCCACGCATTCCAAACAGCTAATAATGAGTACCTTTGTCCCATGTGTTGCGCTCTTTTTCTTTTTTCTTTTTTTTTTATTTATATTGATAATTTGTTACAGTTTTTATTGCATAACATGTGAATAGATTGGTGGGAACTCGTAGGTTTTCGACCTGCTTTACATTATTAGGTCTTGTGAGGTGCCTAGATTCTCATGAGCAAGGCATAAAATAAGATACGAAGGTCCCTAGGTATCCTAGTCCGATGGCTCATAACTTGAAAACGTAAACTATCAAAAGAAAACTAGTATCGAGTGGACAGATAGAGGAGCACAAAACATTGTGTTCCGATAAAGTAATGTCAGTTTGTCGTGTAACATGTCTGAGTTGCGGGATTACGGCCGTCAGGCGGTCCCTAATTCTGTCTGCAGTCGCTTGCCGGAGTTCAGGTGGTGAGTGTAGTAGCGTGTGGGTACCCTAAGCCGTTAGATGTCGGCGTGTGTGTGTGTCCGTGTGGTTGGGGGAGGACCGTGTCCCTTCGTTTGTGGGGTGTAGTGACTTAGCTTCCCTGTGTGGTTATCGGGTAACATGTGAGGGTAACGTTCTGCTTTGACCCTGGTAGTTTCTTTGATGTGGCATGTTATGTGTGGTGAAGCTACTAGAGTCAGGGTAAGTATATCTTCTTGTGTGTGTTCCCCTTGTCCAGGCTGTTGGCACACCGTGACCCGGTCGTTGGGGTCTTTTTTAACCTTAGGGTATGGTACGTGCGCCGCGTTGTCACCCATGAACGTCTGTTTGTTTTAGTATGTTCTAGAGGTGGCTTGTGTGTATATTCATGTTGATCGATTCCCTTAATCCTCCCCAAGTGGTCGGGTCCTATATGACGGTTAGTGGGCTTGGTCCCCTGTGTCTGGTCGGTCATGTGGTGGTTTTCCTTGTGGGTGTTCCGTCTTGTGGCAGGCGTGCGCGGCCCCTACCTCACCCCTGCCCCCGCTCCGCCGGCGTGGCCGCCCGCACCCCCGGTCTCCCGTCTCTCGGCAACATGCCCCACCCACAGCCCCCATCGTTCCACGTATTTTTCACTTTGTCCCATGAGAGACGCCCTCATCTTTTCTGCGGAGCGGATCTCCTCAACTCTGTCGTACCATTGGGTTAGCGTTGGTGGCTGTGTCTGTTTCCACATCGCGGGTATGAGTGCTTTAGCTGCATCTAGCATATGTCGCAATATGGATTTTTTGTATTGTGAGATTGGTTGTGGGGTCGAGTGTAGTAAGTATTGTTCCATGTTGAGGGGGAACGGTTCTCGGAGGATCTCAGTGATTTTTGTGCTGATTTGGGACCAGAACGGCTGTATGATTGAGCAGTTCCACCAAATGTGGCTGAGGGTACCTTCCTCATCTCCACACCTCCAGCATATGGATGGGACATTGGGAAATATCTTATGAAGACGTGTTGGGGTTTTGTACCATTGTGATAAGAGTTTGTAATTGACTTCTTGATATCGGGTGCTGACCGAAGATTTATGGTGTAAGATGAGTATTTTTTCCCATTGGGTGGGGGTAAATTCCTGGTTTGTGATGCTTTCCCATTGCGTCTTAAATGTGACTATTTCTGTGCGGTCACCTGTGAGGACGTATTGGTAAAGGTATGAGATCGCTTTGCCTAAACTCGTTTTGGTAAGACACAATCTCTCAAATTGTGTTAGGGCCCTGTGTAAGGCTGTTCTATCTCTGAATGAATGGTAGAAATGTTTTAGTTGAGTATAGCGGAAGACTTGCTGTAGGGTCGGGGTTTGTGTATTGATGAGTTCTGAGAGCGTTTTCAGGGTGGCGTTGCCCAGGACATTGTGGAGTGGTACGTATTCCTGTTCTTGTTCTCCCAGGATTCCCCAGGCCCCGGCAGTGATGCCCCCTCCTATGGCAATTATTTATTATTACCAGTGAAACCAATATAACATCTCAACATTCACAAATATACATTTCTGACATTCAAAAACAAAACAAAAACAAATCAGTGACAATATAGCCACCTTTCTTTGCAAGGACACTCAAAAGCCTGCCATCCATGGATTCTGTCAGTGTTTTGATCTGTTCACCATCAACATTGCGTGCAGCAGCAACCACAGCCTCCCAGACACTGTTCAGAGAGGTGTACTGTTTTTCCCTCCTTGTAAATCTCACATTTGATGATGGACCACAGGTTCTCAATGGGGTTCAGATCAGGTGAACAAGGAGGCCATGTCATTAGATTTTCTTCTTTTATACCCTTTCTTTCCAGCCACGCTGTGGAGTACTTGGACGCGTGTGATGGAGCATTGTCCTGCATGAAAATCATGTTTTTCTTGAAGGATGCAGACTTCTTCCTGTACCACTGCTTGAAGAAGGTGTCTTCCAGGAACTGGCAGTAGGACTGGGAGTTGTGCTTGACTCCATCCTCAACCCGAAAAGGCCCCACAAGCTCATCTTTGATGATACCAGCCCAAACCAGTACTCCACCTCCACCTTGCTGGCGTCTGAGTGGGACTGGAGCTCTCTGCCCTTTACCAATCCAGCCACGGGCCCATCCATCTGGCCCATCAAGACTCACTCTCATTTCATCAGTCCATAAAACCTTAGAAAAATCAGTCTTGAGACATTTCTTGGCCCAGTCTTGACGTTTCAGCTTGTGTGTCTTGTTCAGTGGTGGTCGTCTTTCAGCCTTTCTTACCTTAGCCATGTCTCTGAGTATTGCACACCTTGTGCTTTTGGGCACTCCAGTGATGTTGCAGCTCTGAAATATGGCCAAACTGGTGGCAAGTGGCATCGTGGCAGCTGCACGCTTGACTTTTCTCAGTTCATGGGCAGTTATTTTGCGCCTTGGTTTTTCCACATGCTTCTTGCGACCCTGTTGACTATTTTGAATGAAGCGCTTGATTGTTCGATGATCACGCTTCAGAAGCTTTGCAATTTTAAGAGTGCTGCATCCCTCTGCAAGATATCTCACTATTTTTGACTTTTCTGAGCCTGTCAAGTCCTTCTTTAGACCCATTTTGCCAAAGGAAAGGAAGTTGCCTAATAATTATGCACACCTGATATAGGGTGTTGATGTCATTAGGCCACACCCCTTCTCATTACAGAGATGCACATCACCTAATATGCTTAATTGGTAGTAGGCTTTCGAGCCTATACAGCTTGGAGTAAGACAACATGCATAAAGGGGATGATGTGGTCAAAATACTCATTTGCCTAATAATTCTGCACTCCCTGTATGTGTGTGTGTGTGTGTGTATATATATATATATACACACACACACACACACACACACACACTGTCTAGGTGTATTTTACTATTAATATTAATATATAAAAAAAAATAATATGTAAATACATTAAAAAATAAAAAAATAATTAAAAAATATATAGATGTGCGTTATTTTGTTCTAACTGTATTGTGATTATATATCAAAATACACATAGAACGAAATATATATATATATATATATATATATATATATATATATATATATATATATACATACACACACACACACACACACACACACACACACACACATATTAATTCTACATATATTTCTGTAATATTTTTACATAATTGGGTATCTTAATTACAATTAGCGGGACCTGCCTGACAACCCATGCCGAAAGTAAAGGGAATTTAATTTGCTAGCACTATATTTAACCTTATAACTTTCCAAGACACCATAAAACCTGTACATGGGGGGTACTGATCTACTCGGGGGACTTCGCTGAACACAAATATTAGTGTTTCAAAACAGTAAAATGTATTACAACAATGATAGCCAGTAAAAGTGACGTTTTTTTGCATTTTCCACGCACAAACAGCACTTACACGGACGATATTATTGCTGCGATACTTTTTACTGTTTTGAAACACAAATATTTGTGTTCAACGAAGTCTCCCGAGTAGAACAGTACCCATCATGTACAAGTTTTATGGTGTTTTCAAGAGTTACAGCGTCAAATATAAGGCTTGTGTTTCATTTTTTTCACATTAAAATTTGCCAGATTAGGTACGTTGCCTTTGAGACCCTATGGTAGCCCAAGAATGAAAAATTACCCCTATGATGGCATACCATTTGCAATAGTAGACAACCCAAGGTATTGCAAACGGGGTATGTCCAGTCTTTTTTAGTAGCCACTTAGTCACAAACACTGGCCAAAATTGGCGGTTTTTGCATTTTTCACACACAAACAAATACTAACGCTAACTTTGGCCAGTGTTTGTGACCAAATGGCTACTAAAAAAAAAGACTGGACATACCCCATTTGCAGTACCTTGGGTTGTCTGCTATTGCAAATGGTATGCCATTATGGGTGTAAATTTCATTCCTGGGCTACTATAAAGTCCCAAAGGCAACTTAACCAATCTGGTGAATTTCAATTTCAAATGTAAAGTGCTATATTTGACCCTGTAACTTCCCAAAATGCTATAAAACCTGTACATAGGGGGTACTGTTTTACACATGAGACTTTGCTGAATACAAATATGTGTATTTTATTGCAGTAAAAGCAAACAGTAAATGACATTGACAGTTAAAATGTCATGTAGAACTAAAAAAATAAATCGTATTTTCTCCCATCTTAAATTATGTTTCATAGCTAAATATTTGATATTAAATGAAAGCCCTGTTTCTCCTGAATAAAATGATATATAATAAGGGTGGGTGCATTTAATATGAAAGAGGTGAATTACGGTTGGACAGACATGTAGCGCAAATGCCAGGCTTTGTTTACATTTTGTTTCGTTCACAACGTGTACATTTGGCTCTGTCCTTAAGGGGTTAAATAAACATTTTGATTGGAAAAAAAATTTGCTTGTGTTTATTTATTTATTTATGTTTCACTTCTATTGCAACATTCAAACCTCATGACAAATTTTACTATTTTATTCTAAACTGTGCAATGAATTTGCTCAGTCAGGTTTAGTGAATAAACCTCAATAGTTTCTCCAGCACTGAACTGACGCTTCACCATAGAAACGCTAAGGCACGTGACTGCAAGTTAAAACAGTAAACGTCCATACGTGTTTTGGGTGCCCTGATTGCTTTTATAGTAAAAACACACCGTAAGAGTGGATGCAAGTAGTCCAGTCTACGAAACAGACATGGCAGACATCTATTTTCCTCACACTTAAACCAATTTATACCGAAACAGAGTACAGACAGGACTTATAGAAGACACTGTAATGTCTTGCCCTTTGAAATAATGGCGGATATCGCCTCATTAGTCAAGCCCAGTAGCCGGTAACTTGGCTTTCCACAAGTTTTTTTTACGGATCCTGACTCCTCCTTTTCACACCTGAGGCGGCTAGTTGTGTCCGTGTCCAGTGCGACCCACAGAGGGTGAGTCCACGGATGCACCTGTCGAACTCAGTATTCCTTAAGGTAAGACCCACTCTGCTGAAAGCATCAGTGGTCAGTATGTGAGGTTTGCCCTCTCCAGCGTTATATCAGGGTGAGGAGAGCTGCAACTGCCCTGTGATCTGTTTACTGTTACTGTAGCTACAGTGGCTTCCACTGTTACAGTGTGTTTAGAACGTTCGATCTGCGTGCAAATTGTATACAGAATGTTTAGGGTATTTAGAGAGCAAACTAAAGTTAAGAAATGCTTATGTTTGAGATTATTATTTGTATAATTTGTAAAACGTTTAAGAGGAGTTATGTGGTACCTCAGGATCTGTATAAATGGCATGATTGTATGTGTTAGGGGATTCAACAGTATTTATTCATCATTATTATAAACTACATGAAAGGTGGTCATGCTACTTTAAAGAAAAATAATGGTATATGTAAGGTGTGGGCAATTACCTGGTTTAGTGTTTACTTTCCAAAAGAGAGGAATATATTTCCTTAAAGTGGAATACTCATTGCTAGGATTAAGAAGTTTGCATAACAATATTTTGGGCAATAAACCATGACCAAACTTCAGAACCAGATAGCTAATTACATTTTGATTTATTTGTAACTGATGTTTTCAAAGGCTTAAACATCAGTTACAAATAAATCAAACCACTGTAGGCACCCAGACCACTTCAGCTTAATGAAGTGGTCTGGGTGCCAGGTCCAGCTAGGGTTAACCCATTTTTTTTATTTTTTATAAACATAGTTTCAGAGATGGGTTAAGCCTTCCCCCAAAGCCTCTAGCAGGCGCTTGCGTGATTCTTACTGTGAAAATCACAGTGAGAGCACGCAAGCGTCCATAGGAAAGCATTCATAATGCTTTCCTATGTGACCGGTTGAATGCGCGCGCAGCTCTTGCCGCGCGTGCGCATTCAGCCGACGGGGAGGAACGGAGGAGGATCTGAGGCAGAGAGCTCCCCACCCAGTGCTGGCAAAAGGTAAGTTTTACCCCTTTTCCCCTTTCCAGAGCTGGGTGGGAGGGGGTCCCTGAGGGTGGGGGCACCCTCAGGGCACTATAGTGCCAGGAAAAACGAGTGTTTTCCTGGCACTATAGTGGTCCTTTAACCCCTTCAGGACGGGTGACGGACGAGGTCCGTCACACAGGGGAGACCCTTAACGACGGGTGACTGACCTCGTCCGTCACGCGGTAAAATTAACCCCGGATCGCCGCTATCGCGGCGATCGCGGGGTTAATGGTGCTCCCGGTATGCCTCTGCATTAGAGGCATACCGGGAGCACCCGGTCAGTCTGCCCAGCACATGTGCTCGCTCTGACCGCAAGTCTGAGCGAGCACATGTGCTCTCTATACTCACCTACCGGCTCCCTGCACTTCCGGGTTCTGTGTGAAGTGCAGGGAGCCGGATCAGTGCTGATCCTGCCCCCTGCTGTTAAAAAAAAATAAAGTTTATTTAAAGTCCCCCCCCCCTTACCCATTTTAATAAAAAATTAACCCCTTCCCTGCCAATTGATCACTGACTACAGTGATCAATTGGCAGGGATTACATTTTACAGGGGTTAAATTAATTAAAAATTTTTTTAATTATATATTTAGATAGCTGGGGTGGGTGGAAGTTAGTGGGGAATTGGGGGATTTGGCGTTAGGCTAACTAGGGGTTAACGTTAAAAAAAGTTTTAAAAGAAACTTTAAAAAGTTAAAAATTAAGCTTAAAAAAATGTTTTAATAACATTTAAGTAAAAAAACCAAAAAAACACACTTTACCTAGTCCAAATAAAAATTAACCCCTTCCCTGCCAGTCGATCACTGCCTACAGCGATCAAATAGAGATCACAGTATTATACTGTGATCTAATTTTTTTTAACCCCTGAGGATTAACTTTTATTTATTTTTTTAACCCTCAGGGGTTCAATTTATTTAATTAATTAATTTAAATATTTTATAACTATATATTTTGCTAGCTGGGGTGGGTGGGAGTTATGGGAAAATGGGGAATTTACTGTTACTGCTGCATACTGCTAGTTAGGGGTTAACGGTAAAAAAAAAAGCTTAGAAAAATGTTAAATCTGTAAAAAAGTTTTAAGAAAGTTTAGGAAAGTTTAAAAAAAATTTATAAGCAAAGCAAAAGTTTAAAAACTAGTTTTTAAAAGTAAAAAAGTTATAAAAAGTAAAAAAATACATTTTAAAAACGCTCATTACCACTACACCTGGAACAAACTAGAGAAAAAATTATCCCACGCCAAGGTTCAAAATATGCCTTTTGAATTACCCCAGGGTGTATTCTTTAATAAATAGTATGTGTTTGTGGGGAAGTTTCAATAACCAACCATCTAAACTACTCCAAATTGGAACATGGACACAGCGTAAAACTTCAAAGTTAGAAAAAACCTGAATGGCTGCGTCTCAAATGCGCCCCTTCAACATCCACATATACCTGGCAAAGGTACATACGGGGGTATTGCTGTACTCAGCCGACATAGCTGAGCAACATATGAAGTATTATACAGTCGTAGCACACATAAGGTTTGCAAAATATACTGTGCAAACTCACTTTGTATGTCAAAAAGGCAGAAAAAACGCTTATTACCACTAAATCTGGTACAAGCTAGCGGAAAAATGATCCCACGCTAAGGTTCAAACTATACCTTTTGAAACACCCTGGGGTGTCTACTTTAAGAAATGGTAGGCCTTTGTGGGGTAGTTTGAATTTAAAACCTGCGAAGATGCTTGGAAATTGCACATAGGCCCAGCGTCAAAATTCAAAGTTTGGTAAAAACGGATATGGCTTGGTCTCCTATATGGCACTGTAGCTTCACGAAATAGTGCCAAAGACATTCATATGGGGTGTCATTTTACTCAGAAGACTTAGCTGAGCATAATTTGGGGGTTTGAACTTAGTGGCACATATGAAATATACAAAACGCCCAGCAAAAATGCAATCCGTATGTA